GAACTTTTGTTCCAGACTTGACTGAATCAGAAGTTCCAGATGAATATGAAAAGAATTTTGATGAAGAGGAAGAGCTAAAGCAACTTCTCAGTGGGATTATATGCTTCAAAGTGTATCCTTTCTCAAGTGGTATGTGTTAATGCAATCAACATAGTCACATTCAGAGCCAACAATCCACTGCAGATGTTGATACAGGAATTTTGCAGACTCGTCTAATGTAGAGAGGAAAATAATCCTGTCTGGTTCCTTTAATCCATTGCATGATGGTCACCTTAAGCTCGTGGAAATTGCGACCAGGTACACCTCTCTAACATCAAACATGGTTTTCTACTATTGAAAAGATTGATTTTTTCTAAGCATCACGAAAGATCTGTTTATCCCTAAATGAATTACATCTTATAGCAGAATGCCAAATTTTTTCGTGCAGTATATGCGGTGGTGGATATCCATGTTTTGAGTTGTCAGCTGTCAATGCAGACAAACCTCCATTGGAAATACCTCAAATCAATGATCGTGTTAAACAATTTGAAAAAGTTGGTAAGATTCTAAAATATGATATTTTACACACACAGATACAGATAGTAAGAGTTGAAAAATGGCTACATGACCTGTTTTTTTTATTTCTTTTGTCAAGCTTCTCAAAGGCTTAGAATGCAAAACTGTACTTTGAGGTTGTTTCCTTCCAGAAACTATTCTAAAAATCGTCACTCAGTCTTTGATGCAAAACAAATAGGAAAACAAGAAAAGGAAGAGAAGTATATATATTCACTACCGTTTATCCATAGTGGTTTCATATCTAAGTATTATTACTAATAGAATAGGAATAGGTATACACAATCCTACTTAGAATAAGAATAGGAATGTAAATAGTATATAGTATCTAACTTGGAAAAGGATTATAATGTTGTGTCCTAGTAGGAAAAGGAGTCTAATTTAATGTCTATAAATAGGGTTTTAATGTAATAATACTCCTCTTATATATTTCTCAGAGCTTGTTCAGTTAAGTATAAACATATTGTGAGTTTTGACATATTGCGGATTATCACATATCTGCTGCAGATCCCAATATGGATCTCTTACAATCCTACCCCGACGATGAAATCACTGAATGGCTGCCACTAAACCTTAATTCTCAATTTTCTGACCAAAATCCTTCACCTGATTCTTCCCCAATTAGAATGCTCTCCTTCTAAATCCGCTGCCTCTAAAGTTGACGACACCATGCTAACCCTACAAGTCACTGGCAAAGCTGCCAGAGCTCAATCCAAACCCCATGACCCGACCCAACACCTCGTTGGATTCAACTCGATGTATGAACAACTATGGGCACCAATTTACGGCCCAGCTCACCCGTACGCGAAGGACGGGTTAGCTCAAGGAATCAGAAATCACAAGCTAGGGTTCGTTGAGGTCGCGTCCATTGAATCCTTAGTATTTGACGAGCAGAATAATACTTTTCAGAAGTATGGGTATGCTGTTGAACCCTCCCAAAATAGCTACAGTGGTGATTTGGAAAAAATGAAGGGATGTGATGCTATTTCTCTGTACATAACCACAGCATGAACAGAAGAAGAGGAAGTTAGAGAAAAAGAAGGAGAAAATGGAGGAGGGTGTTGAGCAGGACGTGGATATGACGGAAGTTGAAAATCCGTCCACAGACATGTGGCAGGAAGAGTCCATGGGCTGGAAAGAAAGAAGGGTTGCAAGTTGAATTATCTGGGGAGCAGAAAAAGTATGCTAAGAAGAAGGTTGAAGAAAGAGGTGGTGATGAAAATAAGGTGGAGCCTATGGTTGAAAAGAGCACATTTCATGGTAAAGAGAAAAGGATTATCAGGGTAGGTCTTGGATCGCTCCACCAAAGGATGGAAAGGCTGCTAATGATCATTGTTATATACCAAAGAGATTAGTTCATAATTGGAGTGGACACACGAAAGGGGTTTCAGCTATTAGGTTTTTCCCTAAGCATGGTCATTTGATTTTGTCAGCTGGGATGGATACAAAGGTGAAGATTTGGGATGTTTACAATTCCGGTAAATGTATGAGGACTTACATGGGGCATACAAAGGCAGTGAAGGATATTTGGTTTAGCAATGACGGGTCGAAGTTTTTGGCAGCTGGCTATGATAAGCACATTAAGTATTGGGATACAGAAACAGGACAAGTAATTCAAACATTCTCGACAAGTAATATACCCTATGTAGTGAGGCTTAATCCTGATGAGGATAAGCAGAATGAACTTTTGGCTGGAATGAGTGATAAGAAGATTGTGCAGTGGGATATAAACAGTGGACAGATTACACAAGAGTACGATCAACATCTGGGGGCAGTTAATACAATTACCTTTGTGGATAATAATAGGAGGATTGTGACTTATAGTGATGATAAATCACTACGTGTTTGGGAATATGGTATTCTGGTTGTTATTAAGTATATAAGTGAACCCCATATGCATTCCATGCCATCTATTTTGCCCCATCCAAATGGAAATTGGATTGCAGCACGAAGTCTGGATAACCAGATTCTTATTTGTAGTACGCGAGAGATTTCAGCTGAATAAAAAGAAAAGATTTGCTGGACACATTGTTGCTGGTTATGCCTGCCAGTTCAATTTCTCACCAGATGGATGGTTTGTCTTGTCAGGAGATGGTGAAGGCAGATGCTGGTTTTGGGATTGGAAATCGTGTAGGGTCTTCAGAACTCCCAAGTGTCATGAAGGGGTCTGTATTGGTGCAGAGTGGCATCCTCCGGAACAAAGTAAAGTTGCTACATGTGGTTGGGATGGTTTTATCAAGTAGTGGGACTAGTTTTGGGCAGCCATTTCTGTCTCTGCATTTATTGCGATGGCAACTTGTTCAATATCAGTTGGTTAGCAAGACTGTTCTATGCAATGGTTGGTCAACTCGTCTGGGACTGACAGTGGCGGAGCCAGAAATTTTATGAAGAGGGTCCAAAAATTAAACAACAAAAGCTCTTTTTAAAAAGGGGAAAAATTGTTGCAAGTGAGATCTGAATACATGAGCACTGACTCATTAAAGATGTTTAAACCCACGTTCAAGACGTCTTAACCCACTAGGCTATAACAACCTATTAAGTCAAGGGTATCCAAAATATGTTATTTAATCACTTCGTCTATCATTTTACTTGTATATGCTGTATTTTTTTCGGACGAAGGGTGTCCAGTTGGACACCCTGGCATACATTTGCCTACGCCACTTCTGGGACACGTCTAGCGGGACCAAGCTATGAATGAATTTGTTGGTCAATACTAGTCTTTACCTCTGTAAAACAGGTTTTCTTCTCAGATGCTTTTCTTTGTTGAGGTTGTACCAGTAGTTAATAACAGAGGACACACGCAACTTTCAGTCAAATTATGATATTCCATAAGACAAGTTAGTTGGAAAATCAGTTCCATTTTCCTCTGTCAATGTCATGCACGAATGAAGTTTATGTTGTATATTGTTTTTGTTATTTTCAATTTTCTTTTTTCGGCCTTCCAACATAGGATTGTGTATACCTATTCCTATTCTAATAATTACATTCTTACCCTGTTTTCATATTCAAAAATATGCTGATGTTTGAATGGTTTCTGTTGGTGATTTTATGAATGGGACAGCAAATAGAATTGAATGGATTGAAATGGCTTGCAATAATTTTACTGAGCATTGAGGACTTTAAATAGTCAACATAAAATACATAATCTGCATAGTTTGAAATTTAAAACAACCTAAAATATCTCAACAACTTAACTAAAATTCGAAATTCAACTTAACTACTGCAGTGACTTAAAGCATATTTCAACAGTTTCGGCCTTTGAAAATGCAGGAAAGACGGTCATAGTATCTAACCAGCCATATTTTTACAAGAAAGCAGAACTTTTTCCTGGAAGTGCTTTTGTCATTGGTGCAGACACAGTTGCAAGACTTGTGCATGTAAGGTTCTTTCACTTGCTTCTACAAAATTGAGATTACATGAGATCAAGAATTTAGTAAATTCAATAAGAAGTTTGGGAATACAATTATTGGGAGGAAGAGATTTTTTGTCAAATTTTGTGATAGAACATCCAGCTATACCGCTGGTTTCTAAGAGTATCTCGTAACTAGCACCTGATGCAAGTTATGTTCATGTATAGAAACACTAGCGCTTAAATACAAGATTATGAATATACGAAGGATATGAAACAAAAGTATGTACTCGGAAATACCAAAAGTGTTCCTTATTTGTGATTCAAGTTCTCAATTTTGCATAATCAATTTTGCTGATAAATGGGGTGATAACCCGCTATATAAATAGGAAGGTTCCCAAAAAGTGTATGTACTGATCTTTGCAATTTGCTCTTTCCAGCCAAAGTACTATGGTAATGACTATGGGAAGATGTTGGAGATACTTCTGGGATGTAAAAACACGGGATGTACTTTCCTAGTGGGTGGTCGGAATGTTAATGGAATTTTCAAGGTACAGTAACAAACTCTCTGCAACCGTCATGTATCATAACATTCACATCTTTTCGGAACTCTTATGAATTCTATATCATGTCTATTTCTCTAGGTTCTTGAGGATTTCGACATCCCAGCAGAGCTAAAAGACATGTTTGTGCCTATACCAGTCGAGAAATTCCGTATGGATATATCATCCACTGAAATTCGAAAGACTCAAGGACTCTTGTAAGCCCATTTGCATTATTTTCACTCAGGTATCTGCATTGGTTCCGTTTAAACAATTAGTTCTATCTATGTAACATGAAAATAAGCGCCAAAAAGGAAAAAAACCGAAAGCTTATCCATTTTCATCGTTTGCTCTTTCCAGTCTCAACAGAACTGAGAATGTGTGGAATTGTTGTTCTCTGATTTGAGTTTCCTTACTAACATATGTATATTAAACAGTTCTTGGTTTTAAACATAATCAGATTCTGTCAATTTTATGCCCAAATCGTTGACAACCTTTTTTTTCTTCATTATGACTTTTGCTGGGGTATTGCTTACAGTCTACTCAGAAAAAATAGCTGACTAAGAATTGTACAATTGAACATTGCCATCAAAGTATTACAATGACATGTAATCGAGCTATCGCTCGCCCCTCCCCCCCATTACAAGTAGAGCATATGCAGAAGGAAAGAAACTTCTAAGCAAGACTTATAGTCTAGTGGTATCAGTGGGAGTCATCTTCCACGCAATAGGCGTGGATTTGATTCTTACTATTTCCTTTTTCACTAGTCAGGCGCCACAGGCAGCGCCACAACCTGCACCACATCCGGCACCATAGTTATCTGTATGAGTTGTTGCTTCTTTCTCTTTAGAAACACCATCTGCACAAGAGAAAATGATTGTTGAAATGATACACAAGCAAACCAAAACCATCAACCAGAGACTCCAAATGCCAACATTTGTTATATCTTCAACACCCCTTATTCCTGTTGCTCTCAATTCCCTAACCATATTTTGTCTATTTTATCTAAGTGGTTTATATGGTGTGTTATGATAAGAGCAGTTTGACAAGACTTTTCTTATCACAAAAAAATGAGTTTCTCTTATCAAGTGATGGCTTTTTAAAGATGGTTGGAGACTTGATAATGAGTGGTTAAAATAAACTACCTTGTGTTTTAGGTAAAGTGTTCTGATTTTTTTTTTTTTGGGTAGTGCTTATCCAAATGGTAGATTACTTGGGCACATGGCTAAATGTAGTTGTGAACAGATTCTTGTTTGTGATTCACACAATGGCAAAAAGTTGTTGAGCTTGATAAGAAAGTTTGAGAGATTAGGGGGCGTTTGGCCATGAAAATTCCACCTTCAACTTCAACGTCAAATATTATTATTTTTCTTAAATCTCAACCACATCATGTCCAAACGCCCCTTAGGCATCACAATTGCCTATTTTATTGAGCTTGATAGGAAGTTTGAGAGATTAGGGGGCGTTTGACCATGAAAATTCCACCTTCAACTTCAATTATTATTTTTCTCAAATCTCAACCAAATCATGTCCAAACGCTCCCTAAGCATCGCGATTGCCTATTTTATAGTAATTGGTTAATGAGCATTCACATTTATGGGATTATCCACTGTTTAATTGACCCTTCATGAGACTTAGGGGTTCAACAACTTGATTTCTATATACTCTTGGGAATTATCTGTTAATAACTTTAGTTAGGTCATTTGCCTCGAAAAAGTTCATAGCATGTCATCTTTCTTTGAAAAAAAGCTACTCATGCACTACCATCACATAATAATAATAATAATAATATGTCTTGAATTTATTTATTTATTCACATTTGACTAAGTTATTTTATTGTCAACTTGTTTCCAAATAGGTAGCAACTTGGAGTGAGTTGTTGTACAATTTGATGTGAATTCTAATCATATAGTATAATTTATTTGTAGAAATCCACTTCCTTCATTTCTAAATACATATCATGTGGTTGAGCTTGTCGCATAGGGCTTCCCCAGTGCGGGCTACCTCTCTCGTGTAATTTATGAGCTATTAGATCGAAACGAGTATTTTATCTTGTGCGCACCCAAAGAATAGTGATTGTAGATTTTCCTTTTTATTAAAAAAATACATACCATTCTTACTAAAAATAGATGGACTTTAAGAGATCGTTTGGTATACGAAATAAGGTGAGATGAGTTTGTTCTGAAATTATAATCTCATGATAATTTAGTCCATGCACCAAACGAATGCACCAAACGACCCCTAATAGTCTAATTATTTGAGGGTTGGGAACAAAAATAACATATTCAATGTAGTTTCATAAACGGGGTATCAAGAGATATTCTTGCCTCTATTTTATGAAGATAAAGAAATTGTTTCCGAGACACGTTCAAAGAAAAAAAAAAGGTGGAAAGTATATACCCCTTCCATATGAGGGTTTTTGGTTTGAAAATTGAAACATTAATAAAGACCAGTGACATGTGGACACTTGGTTTAAATTATAACCACTAGCATACAAAAGTTCATCGAAACTTCTAGATTTTCACATTATTGTATGACACCTCCACACTAAAATTGCTCTTGCTCGAGCTCTCGAATTTGAGTCTTTAGAATAAAATTGTCTTCGATAGACAATATTATACTGGCAAAATGAACTTTTGATATGGATTTGAAGTAATCAAATTTTAAAGTAAACATTGAATCATGCAGATGTAATAATGACAATTTCCTATTACTTTCATATAATAATATACTGAAAATATAGGTAGTTACATCAACAAATACACAATTCTTTCACCATTAAACAATTTACATAAATTACAATTACATTTTTTCATAATTTAAATTTTAATTCATACATAATCCACAGCCAATTTTCTTGAACTTTTTTTTTTCTTTCCAATTTTGAGAAATGATTCAAAACTTTTTCTTTTGCTTGACAGGTCCTCTTGGAATCTTATTGAGCACTTCATTATCAAATTTATTATATAGTTTCTTCATATCTTGGTTACCTTGGCTTACTATATAATCCACCTCATTATGATACCTTTCATATAAAGCTGGTAATGTTGCTAGGCAAACAAATCCTAAAAACCAATTCAAAATAAATCGTGAAATTCAGATCTCTTAACCACTTACATAATTAATAATAATTTTAAAAAAAATCAAAATTCGAATCAGAATGTCACGAGTTTGTGGTAGAGGGTTGTTAAATTTGTGACTTTAAATATATCATGACGTTTCTGAGATTTTTAAATGTCGAAATCATGAGAAATTTTAGAAATATAAGAATGTGTCATTCTTTTTTTGAGATTATTTCCTTTCTTCTCAATTTCTCTTGAAAAGAGTGTTATTTTGTAATTTTAAAAAAAATTCTAACTTTACTCATTTTACCCGTTGATGATATGATTTTATCATCACGCAATTATCATGACATATTTAAAATCATGTCTGATCGAATATCTACGTATAAAATTAAAATGGAGGGAGTATATTATAAAAGAAAAATAAAAATGTCAAAATTCCAAAACCTTACCTAGGTATAATAAATTCAGAGAGCTGAAGTAACTTCCAATAACTGATAATACCCATAGGAAAGTGATTGCCTAAGTCCAAATAAACCAAAACAATAAATAAATTGGAGTTCAAACAAAAAAAAAATCATTAGAAAATAAAAATAAAAAATAATTAAATGAAATTGCATATGATAAAAATGTACCAAGAAAAAATTTCTGAAATCTTTTCCAGATGAAATTTCATAGAATTTCACCAACACAGAGTTGAACTTCCTACATAACCATCTAAATGTTGAATCAGATATCATAAACGCTCGTAAATCGGGAGGGCTCCTGAAAAATTACGATTTTTTCACACTATCAGATCCTTAAATAACCCTTCGTAAAAGTAGATGAATCACTATAGTCAAATGACATTTCCTACGTAATATCAATAATTCTGATAGAATGAATAAGACAAGTTATCTGTTACAACAGATAAAAATCAACCTGATAATGTAATAAATTTGTATATTATTAACGTATATAAGTTAAATTCGAAAATATATCGCTGAAAAATAGTTACCAATCAACAAATCCAGCTCCCATAGACCAAATGAAGAGAATTAACATGATGCTCATGGAAATATGACACAAAAGAGTCACAATATTATACTCCATAACTTCAAAAAGGGACCAAATTAGTGTGAATCCAATTAAAATTGATCCTGTTATTGTCTTGTCTCTCCATAACAATATATCAGCAACTGTAAAAGAAAAAAAAAAGGAAAAAAAATGACAAGTTATTATTAAAAAGGAACAAAAAAAATAAATAACATGTCATATAGGTTTACTGGTCTGCGAATAAAGTCTCATAATTCTAAAATAGAAAAAAAGAAGAAGCTATATGTTAAGTATAAGGATATATTTAAAAGACATATTTGTTTACATAGTTCAGATCGAAAATAATGAATTCAGTTGAACTTACCGAAACGCCGTAAATTTGTCTCTCTTTTTAGACTTTTGAAGAAAAATTAAATGAATATTACCTTTTCCACCTCCAAGAATTGCATGCATTGGCCTATTATTATGAGCCAAAAATCTTCTAGTGGGTGCTGAATGTGAAGGGTGTGGATCATCAGAATCAGAAGAATAAATTGGCATATTGTTTTTATAAATTTTATGAACAATATTGAATTATTATGAGTAATAATATTGTTGAAACTTGTTGGAATTTGAATATAATAGAAAAGTAGTATGGTTTTAATTTTATTTATAGTTTGTTGCAATTCTAAATTTTGGATCAACAAGCAAAGAAAGGAATAGCTTTAGCATGGCATTGAAGTTTTGCTTCACATAAGAAACCTAAACTAGCTAGCTTCTTTGTTTTTATAGCATTATATTACTAATTCATCTTTATTTGGAATGTGTGTGAGTTTTAACATATCGGTTACCATCGAAGGTCGTGATGGGATGGATAGAATATCTTGTTATCGTTACTTAGAGGTCTCAGATTACTTACTAATTCATCTTCTTTGGCATGTGTGGGTGTTTTAACGTACCAAGGTTATTATGAGATGGATACGATATCTCTTCGTCGTTACTCAGAGGTTTTAGATTCAAATTTTCACAATGAAAAAAATCCTGATAAGAAGTAGTGGAGGAGCCATTTTATGTATAAATTACATTGTTTAGCCAGGTTCAGTTTTACGTGTGTCTCTATCGTTCTATATTTGGACACCTCTCAGTAAAAAAAAATGTCATTCCACCATTTTATGTATAAGTTACATTGTTTGTCTTTTTAATCTGTCATATACAACGTGAGTCTGAATTATTCTACACCTCCAAATTGATAAGGAACACCAAATGAAGTTTTTACATTAGTATCCTACTGACTGTAATTGCACGATTTATTTTTTAAATAGATTACTCTTTAGTTTTTGTTCTCTAAATGGGCCGATCTTCAACTTTTACCCCTAGAAATCGAACTTACGCTTAGGGAAACATAAGTTCTTTAAAGACGTGAAGCATAGGAATATTATGATGCCGAAATTTATACCTTTGCTTCGCAAAAAAATTATTTACCTTAAAGGATAAAAATTAAAGATCAACACGAAATAGGACAAAACCGCAAATGACCCAAATTATGAGTAGGCCCAATTTCCTCTGTAGGCCCATTTAGAATCAAATGGGTTCTACCAGGTAGAAATTGCATTAGGTAGCCACATTTTAAAATTCAATCTTCTATATAGAATTGGACATTTGGACTGCACTAATGTTAAATACATTATAAATTTTGGTTATTTTTTAAATGGAGGTCCTAAAAGCGTTATTAATTTCTCTCGTAGCTAATAGAATTATGTTGCTAATTCGTCACTAATTATAGTTAGCGATGAATTGTGTTGTTTAATTATGAAATTTATTGATCGCGAAATTTTGTTTTGTTCTGCTAGCTTTATTTTTTTTATAATTTGTTGGTAAAATTTAATTTAAAATAATTGTGTCAAAGACATATCAATGTCATGTCATTTTCCAATTTATTTATGCAATCTGAACATTAGACTTATATGTAAACTTTTTGTAATAAAAGTTTCCATATTTATTGGCTTTTTTTATATATTTATATAATATATAAATATAATCAAAGATTTAGATAAGATCTTTGACCACTAAATTGTCTTAACAAAAACACATTTTTACTTTACCTTGACGTGGTGATCTTATTAATTATCAAAAGTTATAGGGTATCAAAATTCTACTATGAAGTAATCATTAATGACTTATTTTTTATGGTACATTTTAGGTCCTGTGAAATACTATTTGTATAGACTAATCATTGCCAAAAATAATTAAAAGCATTTGTTTATTCATTGAATTTCAACTCAAGTTTTGGGGTGGGGGGTGGGGTGGGGTTGAAGTTATGCTTTGTTTGATAAAAGATTTGCTAATTCAGATTTAAATCGTGCAGATCTCATAAAGGAATTAACATTATATTATTTATCGGGAGTTTCTTCATTTCAGTACTCGAGCTCAAACTCAAGATCTCATCATGCCCCTTGATAGTCATAAATTTTTTACCAACTTGTGACTATGGCAGGGCGGTACGCTCTGCTCTCTCATGACCACTGCTATAATCAAAAGACTAAACAGGTCATCAAACTGCGATCGAGATTTTATCCTTTTGAAGCGTCAGTCGCGTAGGGCGACCAGTCCAGGTCTAATCTGAAAGGTTTTGATGACTCAACGTTCATATTAGGGAAACAAGAGTGAGAGGAAGAGGGGCCAGCCCTCGGCCCGATCATTCAATTCTCTCCAACAGACATGCATAGTTCTATAGTCAAAACAACTCCATCACTTTGAGGAAGCCACATGCGAGTCTTGCTTTCAATTAGCGAAGATTGATTAAGGTTCATCAAAGGGGATTGTCAAAACTACGATAAAGGTCACCGATTTGTTTCAAAATAGACTATACATCCAACATTACGTTCACCTCTTAGGATGTGATCTTTTCTCATCCTACATACACAAGATACTTAATACACTACAATGTCATATATATATATATATATATACTATTATTATAAAGTCGATCTTTTAACATTCGATAATAACACAAGATACTTTGTGAATTTAAATAGTATATACTATATAGTATATATTTTTAATGTTGAAGAATTTTTGTACTTGATGCATGCCAAAATTGGGCCCTTTATATAATGATGAAATTATATTTGATGTTGACTTAAAAATAAAATAGGACAGCAATAAAGTGTTACACTATATAGTAGACGCATGCCATGCCCAAAAGTTAAAGGATTGGATCACATCACCGAAAAAAATGACAAACTATTGTTACGGCAAATATTTATTTGCGATGTTAATATTACCTGAATATATATATGTATATATGTATATAATTATTTTGGACTAGTGAGTTTTTTTATATCGATAGAGTTTTCTCGTCTTTCAAACATTGAATCGTCGAAATATAACTCATCTGTTAGAGCTTTTGAGCGTAATAAATCAAAATTGAAAATAGATGAAGAATAGTTTTCTCACCAAGAATATCTTCTTTCTAGAGGTCTCAGAGGAGGGGAAGATATAAAATTACTAACGAATAATTTTGACTATGATCAGAAAGTAAAATAATACTCAGAAAAACATATATATCTCGTTGATCAGACTTTTTAATCACGTTAGAAAATAAAAAGGTAAATTTCATTAAGTATTGACGCATATAAATGTTTTATACAATTTATTTTATATATCTTTCTTTCCTTTTTAATTTCTTTTAATAAAATTAAGGCATTTTAAAAAGAGCAAATAATTGTCACATGCTCTACAACGTATATATATTTTTTATTGGGTTAAAACTTTATTATTTGTATTTATTTTTTATGATTTACAAATATATAGAGAGTAAATCCAACGTTATTAAGATCGAATGAACTCATAAGTTATTAATTAATTTTTTTGGCTATCTGAAAAAAGATTAAAATATAAACATCATGTGTTAATAATTCTTTATCGCGCAAGACTTGTTCTACACAAAGATGGGGTTTGATATAACTTAATATTTTTAATTCAAAGTATTATATTTGTATTAAATATAATAATTTTAAAAGAATTAAAATTTAAAATTCATAAATTTTAAATCTTAATTTCGTCGCAGGACCGCGATAAAAAGGGTGAAAAGAAAAAAGCTTTTATTGATTCATAATATTTGCTCATAACTCATGATTGTTATGATAGCTTCAACTAATGGTAAGCATGCCGATATTATTACTAATAATGTGTAATAACTTTAAACTCTCTATCGACGCCTTCTTATTCGAGTTTGTCATGTTGAATTTATTTAAAACAATTTATAATTTTTTGTGCGATTCACAAATTATTACATGTAAGTAATGAATTTAGGTAACGCACATTGAAAGAATAGCAACCGCTATTTTTTTATTCATAATTTCCAAAAAAATAACTTGAAAGCCCTTCATTTTCTAAAATATCAAATTACTTATATACTTGGCTAAATCTAGTCCACTTTCTACTTATAGATATATATATATATATTCAAAAAAAATTAACTATGAAATTTATCGTTTATCGCTGGCTAATTAATTAGCGGCTATTATGGTGTAAATCCACAAAATCAAAAAATAAAATGATTTCAAGAAAAGTATATTCTATTGTTTTTTTTATATAATATACTCTTTGTTAGCATAAAAAGTGGAAAGATTACAATCTTCCAAATCAAATGATTTGTGAAAAATAAATCCTTAGTTTACTTTAATTAACACAGCACATGATTAAGGGGAAAAAAAAGTGGAGGGGAGAAAAAGAAAATCTTCTTTTTATTTTTTGCTTTTTGGGTATATATTTAACTTATATGATTTAAACTTAATATTTTTGACACAAAACATAGATATATAAACACGAAAAAATCATTAAGTTTGGATTGATATAAAATTTTGAACCTATAAATTTAAAAAATATGATATTCCATCTGTACTAAAATCCTTAAAAGTTGAACTCGTCAAATATAAAAATTTCACTACTAAAAACTAAGGGTTTTTTCATCACAAATCAATGAAAAAGTTTGTACTATAAAACATGATTTTTTCACTCGTTTCTCAAACCAGTTCACTGGTTAAACACATGGTGGAAAACAGATTCTCACTTAAATGTCGAAAAACTTCCTCACTACTATTTTTTTTCTCTTTTCTCACTGATTCAATTAAAATATTTGTGAAAATAACGACTCAACATTTTTGAGTGGACAATTTCAAATGCAAAAATAGTGAATTTTTTGATATTGTTTGGATGCCTATGACCTTCCCCTTCTATAAATAGAGCTTACATGTCAAATGCATTCATCACAACACACAACAACAACAACTTAGTACTCTCATCACTTACCACACACACACATTAGATCATCCAAAATGACAATGAGGTTTGTGTCTATTTTTGCAATTGTACTTTTCTTGGTTTTTGTTCAAGAAACTAAGGTAACAAAAGCAAATGTGAGTTGCAATCCATTGCAACTAAGTGCATGTGCAAATGCCATAACATCATCAACAACTCCAAGTTCAATTTGTTGCTCAAAGTTGAAAGAACAAAGGCCATGTCTTTGCAAATACATGAAGGATCCAAGACTTCAAAAGATGATTTCTTCTCCTAATGCAAAGAAAGTTGCCACTACTTGTGGTTCCCCTTTCCCAAATTGCTAAGAAAAATTTATGTCCCATTTCTATATTATTAGCCTTTTAATATTGGCCTACGACGCGTTTATATGGAGTAACATGGTAAGACCAGTACTGAAAAGAGTCATATAGTCGACCCCTACTTGTTTGTAGTAGTTGTTTGTTGTCTTCTATAATTAGCCTTTCATGTCGAGCTAAGATGATTTTATATGGAGTAACATGGTCAGTGAGGAGTCATATAGTCAATCCGACTTGTTTGGGACTGAGACGCATGTAGTTGTTACATTTGTTGTTGTATTCTATAATTAGCTTTTATGTTTAAGATATTATGACTAAGATGTCTATTTTCTTGTTGTTGAAGAGTGTAATATATATCCTTAATGTTGTTCTTCAATTAGTAATATATTAATGTTGGAGTTAATTATCTTTGAAAAATGTTAATTAATGTTGGTTGTTGTAATTCTAGTTTTCTTCAAGAAAAATGTGTTTGATCAAATAGTAAATGTGTTTTTTAATGATGTCTTCTATATGAATTATTTCATTATCTAACCAACTAATTAAAGTTACTTAACCCATGATTAATAGTACAAATTGCAATAATAGTTCAACATCAAGAAGGGCTAATTTCACATAACCCTCCACTTAGCTCGACTAATCTGAATTCGCATTATGTAGGCCTTATTAATGGGAAAGTGTTGCCTATCGGGAGTTCTCCATCCTCCAAATTTAAATTCAAAATCTCTGATTAAGAGTAAAGATATCTTATCCCTCGAAAAATTAATACCCCTTCATGGTTAGATGAAATTGATTTTAGATAGACAATTACCATTTCCAAACCAAGCTAGGAATATAATTTGAGAAGACTTTAGCAAGAAATTGTATTTTGCTTTCGAATACTTATAAAAGTATTTTCCATCTAAAATTTGCCATTTTATACAACAAACACAAACATTACGAGGATTCATCATGAACTGACAAGTTTTATGCTAGTTATCCGTCTACCGCAACCTAAAGACCAGCAATGTGAGCAAGCTCATATAAACGGAGTTAAATTGAGTCGTTACATCTGAAACAAATATTTTAGCACTCAAAATCTACACAAAATAATGCAACATTTTATCAAAACAAAATTGAAAAAATAACTAATCTTTTCACACTCAATAAAGAAAGTGACACCATTCTTTTCATTTCATAGTTTGTTCACTTACATAGAATTACAAAATAAACTGCAGAAAATTGTACCCTTTTTCAAGTTCACTACCAAGAAAATCATAGAGATCATAATCTACAATAACCTCCTCACAAAAGCTATTACAGACACGATGTGGACGCGAATTGGTGCTTAATACGAATTTACTTAAATTCCTACGAGCTACGTTCATATATAATATATTATGTATGTAACTATGGATGGTAGAAAACCAAACCAAGAACTAGAACTCTTCATGTTTGAGTTCCTCATCGAAACATCTTGTTCGAATTGTAAATGCAACGGACCTTTTAGAAGAAACACGGATTCAGCCTTTTCTTTCAGTAGATTCGGTATAGTTAGATGCTGCCATTCCAAGTCCTTCGTTTTGGTGTTTTTGCCATCCACCGGTATCAGCCTTCGAGTGTATCCAGTAGTAGAAAATGGATCCAATCATTGATAATAACGTCAGGGCAGCGCCAGCAGCAAATACACCTTTTCGGAGGGTGGAACATGACAAGTTTTCAACTTGGAAAACCGCGCGATACTTTGTATGGTATGCATTCTTTGCTGATCCTGCCAATAAGCATGCTTCTGCTCCTAAAAAACTAACCCTGTTTGTCATTCAAAAGAGGAAGTAAGCAATAGATATATGTTGTTCTACTACCATCAGTTTCCATGGCTGCTTCAGACAGGGAGGTTAAGAACTGAAAAAGTAATTATCGTGACAACGACCTTAGACTATGGAGCCAAAAGGTAAAAAGAATGTGATAGAGAAGAGATGTGTATAAAGTAATGGAAGTATCTCTGAGAATTTTGCAAGTATTTTCACTCCCCTATCCCTTGCGCTAGCACTTGGCCGTAGATTCCCGGAGTAGTTTCTGTATAATCTTCAAATATCTGTTTGACCATCAAATTTGATCAGATATTCAAATATTTCAAGATTGCAAAACTAGCTCGACTAGTTTCGGGTTTTTAGGACTTCCACAACTTCAAATTCCAAAAATTACAACACCAAAAACATAAATTTTCAAGTTTCGACTACAAAAACTATGGCCAAACGAGCGCGAAACATTTTCTTGGGAACAAAGTTGAATGTGTTCTTATTTCTTCATATGTTTATTTCACATGTCTTTGCCTATTGTTTGCATCTTAACTTACATCTTCATTATTTCAAGTAATGGATCATTAATCTCAATTTTGACATCTAAATATCACTTTATGTTCTTTTACATACGAGTGTTCATTAAATCTTTAGTTGCTTTTATCCACTACCGAGAACACCATGTTAACATCGAAACCAATGAGGATAGCTTCACGCACTAGCCAATTATCTAAACTAGATATCACCTATCATCACCACATTCAATAATCGCCATCAGAACCGTCCGTGTTTCTGCTAGGGCAGTGTCTATGCTAGTTGTCTAAAACAACTGTTTTACTTGTCTCTAAGTCTATTAAACAACAATATTACTACACCTTACTCCCAAAGGAAGTAGGGGCCGATGGTATGAATCAGTTCTGCTCTAATCAGGCCTAACTTATTTGTGCCAACTCCATCAAACTAGTGGTAGAATTTACTTGAGCCAAGGTTCTTTCGGAAACAGTTTCTATGTCTTCACAGGGTAGGGGTAAGGTGTGCGTACACGCCACTCTCCCACGCCACACTTGTGGTATTACATTGGGTATGTTGATGTTTTCATCTCTCTCCTAATTTAGAAACACTAACCGACAAAGGTGAAGCAATGTTTTAAAGCTTATGGGTTCGGAATTCTAAATTCTTTCAAGTTAATGGGTTCTAAGCTAAATAATTTGTACATATTTAACACATTTCTTCAGGAAAAAAATACAAAATTTGGACTAAAGCTATTGGATTTGGCCGAACCCACACGCTCCACACTAGCTCTACCCCTGCAAACTGATCACAAATGTATAGCAAACACTAAGCAGAAGTGGCTGAAAGTTACACATGTATACTTCCGAAAGGCAAAAAACTATCATCACAGATTGTTGAAGTTCCTTCTTTCAAATTCAGTTACAATATATATGGAAATCACTTTTCATGTTACTTCTTAATTAACTTGTGTATACATACATCATGAGATAACCAGACTAACTGTTTTACAAAAAACAAAACTCACCTCAGCAGAACTCCAATCTATTTTCATTATCTTTATCTATTCAACCACTTATTTAGTGCCGGTAAGATTGGGCAAGTGGCAATTTAAAGATCCATTAAGGGTTTACACCTTGTTACACGTGTCACAGCTACTCACAAACAACTTAATGAATCAATTTACTCGGTGATGAAGACCTTTATAGCGTCATACTAAATTGTGATCGTACTTGTGCAATAGGTAAAGAAATGCTCAAAACCAATATAACTTTTTTTTTTATCTCAAAAAAGAAAAGATATTGGTTTTGAGCATTTCTTTACTTATTGCAGAAGTACGATCAAACCTTAATGCATGCTATACAGATCAGAATTTATCTAGTGGCACCATTTTGGCTCAAACAAATTGAATCTAAACCGTGAAAGGAAGGAAGGGGTACAGAACTTCATCAAATGGTGCAAACAGACAGTAAGAGTAAGGTGACCAATGGAACTCAGGAATACTTAGCACCCAACTACGGAGAAAAAGTTTAAACGGATTTTGTGCCTTTCAGACAACACAAAGTATACAAAAAGTTTAAACGGATTTTGTTAGTTCTCTTTTTCCATCTGTAAATTACAGTTGAACCTTTTTCATTCTTCTTTGTCACAAAATCATCCTCGGGCTTCTTCACCGATGAGTCTCCAATAAATCCAACATACGGTTACTCTATGGCAAGATTAAGTTTCAACAAGGAATGACGCCTTCTTTAGTTTATAAGTGCAGAAGTATCAATCTTAAACTAACAAATAACAATAAGCCAATCAACAAAAACAATCTCATTGCTTAAATAATGTGAGTATTTCGTAAACTCTAGGGGGTAAACGCACTACAACCAGACAAAGAATGTAAATAAACTTAAAGTAAGAGAGAACAGTAACTATGTTCTTACCAGGAGAAGACAAAAAAGAAAATGGCACAAGTAGTAGAACTGCCACCCATCATTCCTCTTCCAAAACACAAGCACTTGGTAATGCCGTTAACCAACGTTTGGCTAATCAGAAGTAAACCAAATGCCGCCAATCCATAGGCTGTAGAAGCATCCGTTCCATATACACAGTACGCCCGTTCATCATACTCATCCGGTACAACTTTCGCCTTCACAAACACAAAACAACATTCAAAACTCCATCTTTGACTACCAAAAAGAACCCCATAAAAAGGAAACTAACTACAGAGAAACAACAATTACTACTAGTACTACGCCTCAATCCCAACTCAAACAACAACAACAATTAATTTGCCTCAAATTCCAAGCAAGTTGGGGTTGGCTATGTGATCCTTACCAATCATCCAACTATATTCAAAAACCCAAAAGAAGTTCAAATCTTAACTATACCCCTGAAAACAGAACACCAAAAACATTTGATCCTCAACTAGACTCATTAGCAACAACAACAACATACCTCTGCAATCCAAGTATGGGGAGAGTAGAGCTATGTTTGCTTAAACTCTTCATAAATGCCAATGGTGCGTGTCAGATCCTTCCAAAGTAGTGCATTTTTGGAGGATACAACATGGTGCGGCAACATTTATGTAGAGTACGAGCAACATAGGAGTAGAATATACGCAGACTTTACTCCCCTACCTTAGAAGGTAGAGAGGTGGTCTCCAACAGACCCTTGGCTCAAGGAAGACTCATTAGCAAATAAAACCAAAAACTCAATCTTTACAACACCAAAAAGTTCAATTTTACTATTCAACACCATCCAGGAATACCAAACACCCCAAAGAAACAAATCAATCCTTAGCTACACAAGAAACCAAAAACATCCAACACAGTCCAAGCTTTAAACTACAAACAGAGACAAAATAACACATTTAACACAAAAAGTCAGTCTTTTACCTATATCCAAAAACTAAGAACCAAAAAAACTATCTTTAACTATACCCAGAAACACCAAACACCCAAAAAAAAAAAATCAATCTTTAGCAACACAGGAAACCAAAAACATCCATGAAGATCCAATCTTTAACTATACCCAGAAACAAAAAACACCCAAAAATCCAATCTTTAACAACAGAAGAAACCACAAACATCCAACACAATCCCAATCTTTAACCAAACACTGCAACAAAAACACACCAACACACACACAAAAAAAACAATCTTTACCTATCTCCAAGAAACAAACAACCAAAAAATCCAATCTTTAACCATACCCAGAATCAAAAAAAGCAAAAAAAAAAAAATAACATAGAAAATATAAGATAAGCTCAAAAGGGTACCGTGCTACGACGTCGTTCAGCACCGACAGCAAGAACAAAAGCAATGAGATGAAGTGCAATAACAATCACAAGAACAGGAATAGAAACCGCCATTACTGACCACACTGCAAAAACCAACTTCTCAAATTCACTATACTTATTTTTTTGTAAGTGGGAAGCTTTTACTTTACTTTTATTCGAATATATTTAGCACTTAGCAGCTGCTTTTTTCAAGCTTTGTGATACTATAACAAGTGTATATCACTTTTGTTACTTTATGAGAAAAAAATGATACAGTACACAAGTGAAAATGATTCATCAAATATAGTGTTTTTGGAAAGGTAGGGTCCTCCTCCTACTTTGTCTGTAGTATCATTGTGCAAATTTTCCGAATTAAATTATTTCGAGATTATAATTCACGATGGAAAGGTTGAATACTATCTAACGGAAAAAAACTAAATATATCGTCAATACTTTAGTTCAGAAATGCATTTAACTATGCAAAAGGAATAAAAAATATTATCCGTTTATAGCTTGTTCCAAAAATGGCCTTGAGAGGTCATATTTTGGTACAAAAATGTCCTTATTGTTATTTAATAGGTCAGATATATTCATTTTCTAAATGAATGTATTATTTATTTTCTTTAACACGTTCTTTTTCTACTTTTTAAATTAGCAAATATATATCTTACTTCAATTCATGAAAATATTTCTTCTTTTAATATCATTATTTTTTATCGTTATATAACTATAAAATATGATAGATATATTATGATCTTATAAATATATATTACGTATATTACTAGTTGAAAGGGTACATGACATTATTTTATTTTCATTGATAATGATCTTTAATAGTATTTTAATTAGAATTTGAAGGTGTGTTTAAAAATAAAAAATAATATATTTATTCAAAAAAAGATATTTTTGATCTATTTTATAACTATAGGAACATATATGTACCAAAATATTACCTATAATAATTTTTTTTTAACCAAAATATTGACAGTGTAAATATTTTTGACCCTATTCCTTTGAATAAATGGTGTATTTAGTATTAAATTTAGATAAAATATATACTTTCATTAGTTAGAAATTTGAAACATAAATTTATTTTAAATTTAATTTTGTATATTTCATAATTTTATTTTATTTTTAAGCAAAGAAAGTGAAAGAGAACAAATGTAAAGCTGGAGTTTGGGTGGCTGTCGGTTTTACGGTTGTTCTTCACCGCCTTTTCTGCATTATTTTTTTTTTTTTTCTGCATTATTTTTGTGATTCCATATTTAAAATATTATCAAAAAATAAATTTTTTAAAAAATATTTTTATTTATCGAGCATGAAAATTAGAAAATATTTTTATTCGTACCAACGCTTTCTATGTTAGTAATATTAGTATATTCCCCTTATTGCAATTTATGCGATGCACTTCTTATGATAATTTGACTTTAAAATATTTTTATATTTAGGAATAATTTAAATTTTAAATTTATTATTGCTCATATATATATTTATGGATAAATTTTAGGAATCAGATAGTTTTAATATGAAATTACAATATATCTTTCTTTAGTTTTGTAATTACATTAATACCTTAAAAAGTAACACAAATGGGATACATTAATATGTAGCTCGAATACATCAAAGAGTATCGCATATACATTATAATATAAATTGGATGCATAATATTTAGCTCGGATACATTAAAAACTAGCTCGGATATATTATAAAATAAATCATATACATAATATGTAGCTTGGATACATTGATATCGGCTTAGATATATTAATACGTAACTCGAATATATAAAAGAAATAAGATATTTTAGAGTTTTTAGAAATAGAAGGGGATATAGCAAATATGTATGTGTGTGTGTGTGTGTGTATATATATATATATATATATATATATATATATATATATATATATATGAGACTGCATTTCAATAATTTTTTTCAACCTATATTTATTAGGGAAATTTTCACATATAGCCACTTAGAAATAATTATTTACTCTCTATAGTTATAGTTTGATCGTCACTATTTATAGCTACATGTTATTTGGAGGAGAGAGGGGAGCGAGACTGTGAGAGAGAGAGAGGAGAGAGGGGGGAGGGGAAGAGTGGGAGAAAGGTGAATTGTATATGTATATTGGTTTTAATTGTATATTATACATATGGATTTGTATATATGGCAAGAGAGATTGGGAAAGGAGGAGAGAGACGATCGAGACTAGAATAGAGAGGAGAGAGTAGAGTGAGATCGATAGAGGCGAGTGAGAGAGGGCAGAGAGTGGGAGAGAGGTGAATTATATAACTGTATATAACTGTATATTATACATATACATTTGTATAAATGACAAGCGAGATTGGGAGAGAGAGGAGGTAGGAGAGCAAGAGAGGGAATAGAGTGGGAGAGAGGTGATTGTATATGTATATAGGTTAAAAAATTGTATATTATACATATTTATTTGTATATTCTGGCGAATTATACATATACAAACATTACTAATCATACAAACTCGAAGTCAGCCCACATAATTAATGTATAATATTAGTCACGAATGATAATTATAACAAACTATAGCTATAATGAGTAATTAGATAATATAAGTTTGCTTATCTGCGTAATTTTCCCTATTTACTATATGGTGGATCGAAGAAAGCCCAATCTTCTTATTGGGTTGTTTAGTTGATGGCCCAATAGCTTAGCCGTTAGCCAACCTCTGTCTATATAAATGGCCCATAAACTACATACAAATTGATCTTTTGAAGTTCACCACAAGCTGAAACTTACGTGAATATACTATAATAAAATAATATTTATTATTTATAGCAGTAATATTTTATTTTCACTTGATCATTTTTAATTCATTTATCATACAAATTTAATACATATTACAAAAAACAATTTATTATATTCACATATAATACAAGTTTTAATAATGGATAATACATTTATCACACATTTTAATATAATGTGACAATATTTTACCAAACAAACATGATATGTTTCAAAAACAATTATAATTCAAATATATTGAATACATAATTCACTTTTAAAGCATATTGCAGATTTATTACAATATTGCTATACTAGTAATAAACAAAAAGTATCGCTAAAAAACAATAATTATTTTTAAAATGTATTAATTTATGTAATTTTTCTATTAAATTATCATGTCAATATGATCCACCAATCTTGGGAGGGGGTGGGGTGGGGTAAATTATCTATATTGTTTTATGTTTATTTTATTTTCACTATTTGGTTCTTGAAAAAAAAAAAAAGGTGTTTGATAGAAGCCTGTGATTTAGGATGATTACAAATCCATTATTAAAAAAAAAAAAAAAGGAAATAACTTGATCACTTCTTAATTAGGATCAAGATAATTATTACTTAGTTTATAACTCTATATCATGATCTAATCCATATTAAATTTTATAACAGGAAGAAGCTTATCTTGATTGACCTTTTGCTATATTATTAGTTATAAAATAAATATAATTTTATGACCAAACAAGAAAATAGAGAAAATTTAAAGTTATCTTTAATGTTCAAAATGTGATTATGCCAAATTAGAACATGGTTACATTCAAAGCACCAATTGGTTAACAGAAGATTTTATATATAGCCAACTATTAAGAAATTAATATACTACTAGTTGTGTCTATTAATATAAAATAGGTGGTTGTGAAATTTTTAATTTTTGATTGTACCTTATGTAAACTTGAAAATTTATTCATATTAAAAGGAAACATACAACTATATTATGATCGGTATTAGAACATCAATAATCTCTAAATTTATGATCAAATTTTGTTTAAACGTTCGATTATAATTTGATTCAGTTGAAGTACATCTGAACATAGATAATGAAAATAGTTGGAAATCCACAATCTCTACTTCCGTTTTTGGATGAACTGAACACTTTGTGATAATCTACTCATTGTGCAATAACTGATCACAACCATACATGAAATATAAATCGCGTCAAACAAGCCTCACACGATCAACTCATAGCTAAGTAATAACGAGGCTGAATTCGATCAACCAATATTTTGAAATACAAGAAAAAGAAAGATAAAATTTATCTGCGTCCAATGAATACTTGACATATATTTTATATATAGATATTTATCATTAATTCATGATTAATCAATTTTCTCGTTTTTATTTGTAACTTCACCGAGATAAATTTATTTGACATTGATGCAAATAAGTTTTAACCCGAAAGTTATATAAAATATCTATTTCTAATCTCGAATAATCTTCATCTCATTTTATTGACCGTTAGGTCACACCTAAAATAAAAAAAAGTCGAAATTTAAAATTATAAATATTATCCAAAACAAAGCACCTCTAAAATCCAGGTGGCATATTCGTCAAGATGCGTTTTAAGTTTTAATACACTCATTAGCACGTCAGCAATATTATTAAGCCTTTTGACTTCTAATTTAATTTTTAGATAATACTATTAAAAAATATTGAAATATAAATTAATAATAATATTCTTTAATCCGGAGAAAAAACTAGAATATCGAGTTTCTAGATTTACATAAATTACTATGAATCTCATGACACACAGTTGCAGTATTATTCGAAATTCTATATTTTCGATACAAATTATAATTTATGTATAAATAATAGTCACGAACTCATGAATTTAAAAAATAGCTAAAAATTTCAAAAATCGAACCCCCAAACTCTAAATTTTGACTTTTCTTATGACTGAACTCGTAAGTTGAATTGTAGCTCCGCCCCACCAACCAATCAAACCCACTATATTTGTTTTATGCGGCAACTCGACTACGTCTATCTCTTAATTAATTTTTTTATTATTTATTTGCATGATTTTATCCCCATATATATATATATATTTATTAAGATATACATTATTTTTAATTTTTTTTATCTCTATAAATTAAAATTATATTTTGGATTTTGAAATATAGAGAAATTAAAAAATGGCTCCAGATCTATCAATGATTCTTCCTAGGGTTCTAATTGTTTCTAGAAGAACTGTTCGTAAGAACAAATTTGTTGATTTCGTTGGTAAGTAGTCGATCGATTTCTCTCTTTGTTTTAATTTTTGTATGTGAAATTAAATTTCGTAGTTAATTTCATATTATTTTTTTTTAATCTAAAGTTGTTTCATGAATTAAAATAATTAAAAAGTGTAGCATAACTGAATCTAATCGAGGTTCGTGTTAGTGGAGGAATTGAATTGGGGATAAAAAAGGGATTTTTATTGTAAGATGTTTTGTGAAATTAAAAAAAAAGTTTATTAATTATGTCTATCTTTGAAAAATTGTTACATTGATTCTTGTGATGGTTTTTACTTTTCTTTTTTAAATTTTCGTGTGATCGACTTATCTGAATTGTTTTAATTTACTTGATTATATGTTCAACGTCAGGTGAATATCACTTAGATCTTATCGTGAGTTATGGCGCCGTGCCTGTTATAGCTCCGCGGGTAAGTGGTGTACACATGTTACTAGAAAGTTTTCAACCAATTCATGGAGTTCTTTTATGTGAAGGTGAAGACATTGATCCATCACTTTATGATAGTGATGAATTGTCACAAGAAGAAGTTGAAGAAATAAAAAAATTACATTCAAGTGATACAACAATTGATAGAGAAAAAGATTCAATTGAATTAGCACTTGCAAAACTATGTCTTGAGAGAAATATACCTTATTTGGGAATTTGTAGAGGTTCACAAGTCCTTAATGTTGCTTGTGGTGGCACCCTTTATCAAGATTTGGAGAAAGAATTGTCTAAGCGTTATCAAATGTTATCTCGTTCAGACACTCCAGAGATGTCGTCGTTGATGTTGCACCCTTGTCTTATTGGAGAATCAGACATGAACCCGTCGGGGTTATTGGAGTGTTTAAACACCATAGAGAAAGAATTGTCTAAAGATTCAAACTCTTCAGAAATGTCAACAATATTGAAGTCATGTCCGAGTGATACAGAGAAAGAATCGTCTGAAAATTACAAAGACCTATTCTGTTCAGACTCTTCAGAAATGTCAGACATGCAACCATCGACAATATTGAAGTCATGTCCGAGTGACATAGAGAGAGAATTGCCCAACAACTGCTCTTTAGAAATGTTGTCACGTTCGTCATCGTTGAAGAGTGAAAGTCAGAGTCAGAGTCGGAGCGATATAGGCAAAAAGTATGAAAAAGTTGTACATATGAACTATGAAAACTATGATGGACATAGACATGTGGTGAAAATAGTTGAAAATACACCATTACACAAATGGTTTAAAGAGTCATTAGAAGATAATAATGATGATGAAAAAATGGAGATTTGGGTTAATAGTTATCATCATCAAGGAGTAAAGAGATTAGCACAAAGATTTGTGCCAATGGCATTTGCTAATGATGGATTAATCGAAGGTTTTTATGATCCAGATGCATATAATCCTGAAGAAGGTAAATTTATTATGGGATTACAATTTCATCCTGAACGTATGCGTGGACAAGATAATGGTGATTTTGATTATCCAGGTTGTGCTATGGCTTACCAGGTACTTAATTTAATTTTATCGAGTTCAGATGTCTTAAGTTCGAGTCATAGGTGTACTAATAACAAATCACAATCCAAGCTCATGCTATGCGTGTTTTCGGGCTCAATGATTGTGTAGTTTATACGTGTCATGCATGAGCTTGGGTGGTGATATATCTGTTTGGTTTGTTGAGTCAAAGCAAATATTACATGTTATGAATTTAGATCATGATGAATATATTGTGAATACACGTCGAAGGAATAAATTTGTGAGGTTTAATGGATCAAAGCGTGTATTAATACGTGTTACGAGCTTGCATCGTGACAGTTTCCATCCTTAATAGGGGTTACGAGAGTTGAATATGAATTAGTCAGGCCAATAGATATTGAATACCACATAATGATACAATAAAGAGAAGTATAAAAAGAGGCTTTTTAAAAGTTTGATATTATTATTGGCCACTTGTTTATGGAATCATGTGATTGATCACCTATAAAGTGTAAGAAAAATTAATTAAAAGAAAGTAAGCTATGAAAGTAAGAAAAAAAATTTTAAAAAAAATTCAAAACCTAACATTTCGACTAATTCAAATTCGTGTCATAAAAAATAATATAGGGGACTTTAGTGCGAGGATTCCAGTTCCACGACTCGAAGTTGTGACTCTTGATTAAACGTAGAAGAACATTTACCACTCCACCACACCCTTTAGTCAGTACTCTTAAATTACTTGATATTATTTTTTTGTATTTTACACTGACAGTACATAAAACTCGACGATATTGTAAATGTATTTGATTGATTTTGTAGGAATTTGTTAAAGCAGTAATTGCATATGCAAAGAAGCTTAATGGACCTAGAAATATACCAAGTAGAGGTATAAAATTCAACCATGAATTAGAGAGCAAAAGAAGAAGCATTGTTAAAAGTTTTTCAATTGCAAAAAATATGTATAGCTCTGGACTTGGCAGAATTTCAGAAAAAGAATCTGAACTTGCACCTGGAGCTGAGTTTCTTGAGGTACAATTTATATATATATATATATTTCGAAGTTTCTACGCGAACAACAGTAAAATTGTCTCTGCATAACATATAGGGTTTGGGGTGTAACCCTTTCCCAAACCGTACTAATGTGCGGTTATATATAAACATGTTTTTCATGGTTGACCTTACCACGTTATGGAAGTCCGTGTACATCATCTTACCCTCTCTAGACCTAGCCACTTGCTAGATTAGATAGGTTTGTTTTACCTGAACTTTCAACTTTGTTGGTGAGAGTTTGATTTTTTGGCCACGTTGTAACCTTTTCCATCATTTCCCTTTCCCGTACCCATGAAAATGAATATGTATAGTAAGATGGTGTTCATTTGGAAGAATTTGAACGTACTGACTCTAGATTCTAAACGATTTTGCGTATGACATGTAGGCAAACACAGCATTGAGTGTACAACAAGAGAATAGGTTGAAGCAAATGGGAGCAACAGTGAGGAATGCATCAACATACATGAACAGATTGAAGATGAATGAAGAAAGAGAAAAAATGGCTAGAGCTATTCTTGCAAAAATGTCAATTGAACAGCTATCAGATATGGTTAGTTTTTATCATAAAATGGGACAACTTTGTTCTGAGGCTTTAGATAAAAAGTTCAATGACATGAAATAGCTCGGTACACTAAGCTCACGTTAAACGTGAGGTTGAGGGAAAGATCGAACCAGAAGGGTCTATCGAACTATAAATATCTTTTTTCATTGTAAAATTGTGTTTTTTGTTCTATAAAATCTCTCCAAGTGTTAATGATATCGAATCAAGTTTTTTGTTTCTTTTTTTTTGGTTGATAATCAAGTGTTTATGAATTAATTGATCGTTACTTGCACATGGATTTTTCATCTAACAAGTACAACTACGCCTCGATCTCAAGAAAATTAGGATAGAGAGATATTCAAAGTCTCGAACGTGTAAATTGAAAAAAAAATACATAACAAATTGACAAATTTTGCCACAAAAACCTCACGCCTATGTTGCTCAGACTATTCAAAAATTGCCATCAAATGCATGTCAATCCGTAGCAAATGTAGTACATTTTTGGAGGATCTAACACGAGAACGACAACATTAAGCCTCACAACAATAAGAAGGCTGTCACTATATTTCAATCTGGACAACTAATCCTCTAAATATAACAACGTATACGGTGCAATCTCATGAGGATAGATTGTACGCAGACCTTTACCCCTACGTTAGTAGGGTAGAGAGATTGTTTCCGATAGATTGATATAGGAGAAAAGGCGCGACGAATTGTCAGCCAGCACCAAGAAGACACACCAATAAGTCAATAACTCAGTTTTAGCACCAAAAACAGATCAGAAAGAAAAAAAAATAGAAAATACTGAACTGCCCAGAAAAACAACAAAAGAAAAGGCATGAGACAAAAACATACCTAAATAAGTCTATTATTACTAAATAAAGTCAAATAAAAAAGTAATGTACATGACATGGGGAAGCTACATTTCACCACCATATATAGTAGCTCTATCAAAATATTGCTAGTATAAATTAACACACCAACAAATTCAAGGCAGTAAAAACAGCCAGCTCTCTCTACTATGAAAGCAGAAAATGAGGAGCATTATGGTGCTATCTTAATACTATACTTTTAGTTTTTTCTTTCAGTCGTTCGATCACCTGCATAAGCATTGTTACTCATCAGCTCATCTGTTTTACAGATCTTTTATTTGTAACTTCCCTCGAACTTCTGTTACTTCGTTACTAACTTCCACTCCTTTCCCATCAATATTCAGCCCTTGCCTGAGGGCTAGTTTTCCATTTACGGTTTCTGTTTTTTTTTTTTTTCGTTTTTTTTTTTTTTTTGAATTTTGTTTTGTCTCTTAGTATAGATAACAGCATTGTAACTAAAGGTTAGAGCGAATCTTCAAGTCTTAACCCATTTTTCCTTGGAAAATCAACAGCTGTATCAACCAGAGAGTGGTTTTCTCGCCACAAACAGAGGAGAGTATATCGTTTTCACCTCTGGCAGAAGAAACTGAAATCAGGATGATTGACCTGAAGAAGTGTTAGCCAGTTATCAGCAGCTTGTAAGAGCGAGCTCATTAACTGTCTTCCAGATCCGCCATTTGGAGTCCAAAGTGACGCTTTAAACTTGTATGAAGCAAGGCCAAAAGCAGGTAGTGGAATCTTAGGGGCAGCATCCGTATCAGTTGGACATGCAACAACAGCGGTATGACCACTTTGATTTCCTGCAGAAAGTCCATGAAAAATTTCAACGAGGCATTTGCAATAGAACAATTTAGTTAAATGCTACTAGCAACCCACATTAGGCTATTGTAATAATACACACTCTTAACGCATACTTCACCAGATTTGTTCACCGGGACATACATGAATAACAAAACCACAACTCAAGGAGATATTGGCTTCCAAGTTCCAACATGCTAGCAAAGGTGATGAACTTTGGGTGGACATCTTTTTCGGGACAAACTCTTTTTTACCAGATTAATGCACCAGTTATAGCCAGGAGAACATGCTAAACTCGACAGAAGACAACATTGTAATTTTGGAGGATATCAGATTTAAGGCTTTCATAAGTCATTCAAACCAAACAACACTGCATGACACAAACTAACTCTTGTGCCAACTTCGCTACTGATGATACCGAACTCCAAAAACTCTGCCGTTCTATTCCATTCAGATTATATCTTTCAAGAAAAATAACAAAGTGAAAAGAATAAGTTAGCTTCTTATTACTATTAAGAAGGACTGAGACAAGCCTTGGGACTCGGTTCAAGTGGCAAAGGTTGAGGGTCTTGTGTTAGGCCAGAAGTTCAAACCCTGCATCATGCAAACTATGCCTGGTATTTAAGTGGAGAAGGGTAGAGGAGAAGGCATATTATCCCGAGTTTCAAAGGCTGTGATTGGTCCTAACAGTTAGCCAGACGGATTCTGTCAAAAGAAAAAAAGAAGATAAAAACCTCGCTACACAACTTCCACATAGGTTATATTTATGTTTCTCTTATAGAACTATTTTGGAGGCTTCTTATAAATCCTTATTCCCATGTGAGATGAGTTGAAATTATTGATTGCAATGAATCCATGAAATTGATGCAGTCAAAAATTCTTAGTTTGACAGCAATTAGTTCTCCTCTTCTTCTTTTTATCAAATAGATTAAGGAAACATATGAATACCAACATACTAGTACAGATGAACATACGTATGCAAATACCAAAAAACACCACAACACATTATAAAAAGAATAAATATGGAAAATTGCGAAAGGGAACAGAAGAAGCCACAGTTGTAATATTCACCGAAAAAACAAAAGCAATTTAGGGTGGAAAATGTCAAATACCTGGCATGGGTGTATGAAGAGAATGAAATGTCAGAAAACAAGCATCCAGAGCTTTTAAAGTAGGTCCCGTAGGTATCCGGTAAATTGGATACCTGCAAGAGAGACATCAGAACATTAAAATTCAGGGGAAAAACAAGTATACATCCTGATATGAAATGGGCAAGAAAAACAAAAATACCAGGCTACAGATATCCAACTGGAAGGAAGGAGATCACAACTTCTCATTGTTTTTAATTCCGGGAAACGTTGAGCAAGATCAGATATCTACAGAACACAAAACATAATGAGAATATGAGATAAAACACAAAGACAAGAAAAGTAATTTATCCATTACTCCCTATCAATGAAATAAACAAAAGATAACTATACTTTGAGGGAGAGGGAGGAAAAGACCAACAATCTTACTTATCAAACAAAAAAAAACCAACCTTGTCTGCCAAAGGTTCACGACCATAGGGCTGATCATGCGCAAAATACTCAAACAGCAAGGCACCTTCAGGAGACCCAGATTCACCCTCATCGCTTGAAAATCCTTCTTGGAAGGTAGCATTACTGTCTCTTAATGATAACCCATCGATACTAAGAGAGCTTTCACTTGCTTGGCTATGATACATCCGTTGCTCCCTTGAATAATTCAAGCAACGTCTCTCGTGTTCAGAGTCACTACTTCCATCACTACTGGAATCCCGAAAATAGTCACTATCACTCTCCTCACCTGGTCGCCTACTATGCAAGAGAAAATGTCAATTCAATATCATATGTTTCTTAAAGCTACTCAATCAAAATCTAAACAACACCAATTCAAGGTTTTTGACCCTTTCAGAATACAGTAGGTGCATAGTAGTGTAGGACAATCTTTGAGACAGAATCATGTGCATTTACAACATAAACACACACATGAAACATGAGATCTAGCTATATGCCACATGACCATCCATATACTAGCTAACGAAGTGTATTGAGATCAACAATATTTCAGGAAAGCGCAGGATATAAATGATACATCAGAAAGAAAGATGGATGTAGAAGAGAGGATGGAAAATAGTAATTCCATAGCATTTGACCAAATATTCTGCTCCTATTTTCGAAAGCAGAAAACGCACATCGAGAATAGGGAAAGGCAGACTCAAGAAGAGGGAGAGGGAGAGAAAAGCAAAGCGTAAATAAGAAGCCTGGTTCAGTGCTTACCATAAAAAATAAATGGAAAGAATATATAGCATGTTTTGATTGGTTAAAAAAACTAGCATTTATCATTCTAAGGGGTAGATTGGTACAAGGGATAATAATCCCAGGATAAAATGCATAATGATTTTATCTTGCATTTGGTTAGGGCCTTAGGGGTATTAATTAGTCCCGGGATTATTTATCCCACCATGTATACTACAATGATGGTGTTATCCATATATATGGTGGAATAACTTTATCCCATGGAATATCCCAATCATGGAATAACATTGTTTATCCCATCCTACATACCAAACAACCCCTTCATACACGGTTCTTTGGGTCTTCCTAGTAAGATGGAAGTGTTAAGCTCACTACAGCACCAAATCGAACAACAAGTATAAGCTAAACATCAAGATAACCAGAATAGCATGCAATTCAATCATTATAAATAATCTGTATGTACATATTTCTAAAATCCTATATATATATATATATATATATATATATATATATATATATAGATATAGATATATACTGAATGTATGTATAAAAAATGGATATTTTAACAAATGTAGCACTAGAGGACAGAGGTTCTCTTATCAGCTAGCGGGGAGGAGGTGACAGAAAAGCAGAACATTTACTCCCTAAATAAGGAAATTAGTTGAACATATACTAATATGTTTGAGAGCTCATCAAAGAAGATCCTCAAAACAGTTAACAACCTCAAGTTTTGATTCATGTATTTTAGTGGCTAGTACCGGCATGTCAAGCTAATTTAGATAACATAGTGTAGCAAATTGTACTAGTATCACGTAAAAAAGGATGACTGTAAAAAATTGAATTCAAAGACATTGGAGGCAACAGTGTTTATAGAGACGACCTCCAAATTTACTCTAGAACTCTCCACCCTTTCCACAATTACCCTATGAAGAAATCCAAACCTACAATCAAATTATCCAACTTGGGGGGCATCATATTCCCAAAGGTAAATTAAAGAAACTTATTGACTGACTGAAAATAAAGTGATGAACTATTTATCTATTTAACTTAATGGGAAAAATTATTTCTCTTCATAAAGTAAGCATGAGATGGCATTTCCCTGAATAAGAAAAAGAAAAACAACCAGTTTCTGTATCCGCATCAGGCCCACACTTTCAGTGCCCACACTTTCAGTTCTATCTATATAAACTACGGTGACAACTGGACGTATTTTTGGACTCCTCAGATAGTGAGGATAGGTTTTGCATCTATCCACAAAGACTAAGTGAGAAAGTAACCATTAGGTTTAAGAGATGCCCAAGCAAAGGCTATGAAAGCTCTTACAGAAGCAGCAACCTATTGGTCGACAAAGAAATGCACAATCATGGTAAGATGCCATCTAAAAAGACGACTGAGGTATTTGGTTAAAGAGCCACGTCTCGGAAGCGGATACCGATTTGGATACTTTGCAACCCACACATTTACCCAAAAGCTCATTCCAGAAACAGTAAGTTAATGACATTATAAAAGCGGAATGAAGCAGGTAGACAATTTCTAGCCTCTGTCTGTATGTCTTGAGAACTCTTTGCTTTCCACTTCTTTATTGAAAAGATGCTGACAGAACTATCTTCTCTTATCATGATCAATATCATGTAGAATTTTCCACCAAAAAACCTATGTTGCTGGAACTCTCCAAAAATGAGGCCCCACCCGAGTTGGATACTTCAAAAATGCACTACTTTCTGACATACACACCGTCAACATATATGAAGACTCCGAACAACATCGGCAAAAACATTATGCAGTAACGACAAAGAGGAATTGGAAAATGCAAACAAAGAAAATATCATGCAAAAACTCTCCTTGCTGAGTCTCTGATAATGTACACCAAGATTATTATACACAATTTTTAATCAAAGCCGCAACTATCCTGTATCCGCACTTAATGTCAAAGAAGATGATCATTACTTATAAAACCTAAATATACCCAATAATAATAGTGGAACTGAAATAAGCATCAAGGAGTATACATAAAACCATAGATAAAACAAAAACAAGCACCTTCAGTGTGTGGTATTGAGACAATCAATTCACAAGACCAGAAAATTTGGCTGTGCCATGAGGAACAAAAAACTAATTTTAAACATGGAAGGAAAAAACAAGCAAATATATACCTTGTTTTGACTGAAGCCTTTGAAGAGTCGCCATACAACTGAATACCTGACAAATAGGGCACATAGTACTGAACTGCACTATCACCTTCATCCAAA